AGACTCACAGAAGAACGTGCTCTGACTGAGCTAGTGCCTGCCCTTGCCTGCTCTTGGGGTCGGCAATTATGCATCTGCGCTCCCCAGATCGCTGAATCAGGGCAATGCGTAGAAACTGTCAAGGGCACTGCGAGCATTGCGTTCTTCCGGACGGGCGCCTTGTGACCTAACTGCTTGTGTCTGCTTGCAGGAGAGAAGTACGAGCTGCATGCAGGGACAGAGTCCACCCCGAGCGTGGTGGTGCACGTCTGCGACAGTGACGCAGAGGAAGAAGAGGACCCAAAGAATTCTCCCAAACCAAAAATTATCCAGACCCGGCGCCCCGGCCTGCCTCCTCCGGTATCTAACTGAGTATCCCCAGCAGAAGCAGCATTCCCCTCCTTGAGCTCGCCTCTTTCTTTCTCTGTTTGCTTGGTTTTGTTGAAGGGCAGCTGTTGCCACATGGGTACCAGGACATCCAGCTCATTGAAATCCCTTCCCTTTGACTAAGCCTATCTAATGAAAGGGCTAGGAAAACATCTTTTGACTACATAAGCATATCACATGCCATCTGGAAGGGACTAAAACCGGCTGGGGAGGGGTTTTCACTTCATAATGCTGCACACCATAACGATAGCAGAGCCAGAAGTATCACCAAGTACACTAGTGATGGGCACGTTAGCTGGCATCAGGACTAATATTCACACACCAGAACATCAGTTTCTGCTCCCCTTCCCAAAGGGGGACTCAAACCTGACTTCCCCCTTCTCCCTCATGAGTTACCTGGTTTTATTTTATGAGGTGGCAGCTTGATGGCCTTAAACCATTCCCCTCCACCTGCCAAGCAAGGGGGAGCCCACAGCTCCCCCTGGGAACTTGCTCCAGGAGGCAGCAAGTTCACTACATTTTTCAGCAATAGTAGAAGGAATGAAACACTCCTGCCCCTTCAGCTGCAGAAAACTCTAGGCCTTTCATTCTGGCGGTAGCGTGCCGTGGGCAATGGAGGCCAAAGCAGCTTATGAAGGGTCAGATGTCCTTCATTTGTTTTTCTTCCAATGAAAGAAGCCAGGCTGCCAGCAGTAGGGAATCCTCACTTTCCCTCTCATTAGGAGCGGTACAAGTGGTACTTCCCTGTCCTGCTCCCTTGAGTTTAAGGAAGAAGAAACCATCTCTCAATTGCATTGTCTTTTCTTTGCTATCTCATGGTAGTAGCAAACCCCAGGGGTAGGTAGAGGTTTCTGGGGTAGCTAAATAGCCCTGACACTCCAGCTATTAGCAAATATTTGCCCATCTCAAATAATCAGCTTTTCCCTCCTTTGCTTGATGTGTTTTAGGCCCATATTGAGGTGTATGCAGTCTTTTTTCAGGCCAAATAAAACAGGACCATCATTAAACTTGAACTTAAACTGCATGAAATTTACTTGCCTGTTCCACGCGGTCCTGCACACCCCTGCCACTCACAAGATGTGCAGAATTACCAATGCTTTCTTAAGCTTTCATCGTGGCTGGTAGCAGGCAGTACTTAAGACACATCCAGAGTTTCTGTCTGGGCTGATCCTCCATATTAATTTTTCTCATGCACACTCACCATTTTGAGAACATGCTTTAGGGATCTAAGCCCTGAATTTGCAAGTGCATAGGCATGTGCTTAACTTTAGGCATATTAGTAGTTCCATTGAAATTAGTATTAGAAAAAATTAAGCATGTGCACTAAACATGTCAGGATCAAGGCACAGTGAATTGCAGTTCTGCTTCCCTTGAAGAGATTCAAAGCTCCTCTGCTCAACGCTTGGAAGCTTGCTCTAGGTTCTGAAAGTGATACTCATTTCTGTCATCGAGATTCTGCCATAAAGCCTTGGAGTGAGTTTCTGAGAGAAGGCAGTGGCAGGATCTGAATTAATTATGTGGATATTCAGGTTTCGGTAGAATCGAGCTCACATTGGTCTTGGCTGAGTAAATTCAGAGGAGCAAAAGCAGATTGTCACTGCACTCTGCAGAAAGAGTGCTTAAAACACCTGGGGAGAACACATCTGAGGGAGTAAGAACAGGCCATTTTTATACTTTCCTAACCATTGCCATTTTTGAGTATTCTTGCTGAACAAGAGTTTTGCCTGTGCACAAACCTTAAAGCAGTGCTTCTCAGTGCATATGGGCACTGCTTTGCGTATGATAATACCTAGGTTAAACAAGCATGTTCAGTGCAAAAGAAATCGATGTAACCTAAAAGGGACTTGACTAACAGCTTTTTGGTAAAGAAGTAAATGCTCTTTTAAAGAATAGGTTTTCAGATGTTTCACTTTGTTGCTTTACAGTGATGCATTCAAAATTGATTTAAACAGTGAAGAGTATATGATTTTGAATAACCATGTACTCGGGGACTACAATCTGAGCACTCTGATTGCAAACAGTACAGAAGGCAACTTTGTACAAGGAGTACAATCCTCTTTTTAGTCCCCAAGTAGATGAAAAGCTAGTTTGATATTAGGACCCATTGGTTTTAGACAGGATTACACTTGAATAGTACTTTTACATGAAGGTTATATTGAACACATTCCTCAGTAAAATAGTCACTTTGATGCGGAAGACATTTTAAGACCAGATCCTCAGCTGTTCTGTTATCATAGTTCCACTGCATCCAGTGTACATTAACTGAGGAGCAGAAACTCAGCCCTTGTAACACATCCAAACTTTTGGGAAGTTTGGATCTACAATGTTTAGGCGCCACTCTAATTGATTCACACATCTTACTGTGAGTGATGCAGTTTTAGTTTAATGTTTTCCTAAATGTCTCATTATCTCAAAGTGCACTATGGGATACATGTATGAGGAACAGTTAAAAGTTGGCTCCGTTCACTGACTACTCTCTGTCCTAAAAGTGGGGCTGTCGGTTACTATCCTGGAAGGAGTGGGAAACAGCTTCATTTCTAATCCCCAGAAATAAAACCACAGTTGGAAGATTGGAGTGACTCAGAGAACATCCAGTGGCAGCTGCAATCAAGGTTTATAAATCACTTTATATAAATTGCCATTGGCAAAGAAAAATAATTCTGATGATATAACCTCACTACCATGACACTAAGAGCATTTGTAAGTTTGTCAAGAGAGCTTTGTATCTCACCAGCAGCCAAATCCTGACTGGTGTAAACAAACAGGCTTATGACCATTTTGAATAGTAAATGTTTAGGTAAAATTAGGAGTTCAGATCTTGTGTTTCCATAGTAGGCGAAACCCCTATTGACTTCAGTGGGGATTTATCTGTGTAGCAACTACAGACTCAGCTACTGTCTTTCACTTGTCTATTTGCAACACTGAGAAATTGATTCTGCTTTGTAACTGCTATAAATCAAGACTATTAGCTGCATTACATTACTCCTAATTCGTGTTGATTTCAATGATTAAGAAATTCTCCCAATTCTTTTAATTTGCTTTCCCAATAGGAGTAGGACACTATTGAAATGGTTTATCAGCAGTGAAATGGCACCCTCGTGTGGCTTCTTTGATCGCATTTCTGGTTAGAAATGAAGCTAATAGTGGAAGAAGTCTACAAGTGCTGTTTCTGTTCTCCTCTCTTGATTTGTCCTCTCCCGTTTTCTCAGAATTTAGACTCTTAAATATACAAGTACATGTACAAAGTATGTAACCACCCTACAGTCAAAGCAAGGAGTTCAGATATTTCGGATGAGAAGTGTGGAGAATGTGTAAAGCCCTAGTACCCGCTCGAGCTGCTGGAGAAACCCTCGAGCCCTCGTGGGGTTCTTGTCATCAGTGGAATAATGCACTAGCAAGTCTTGTGGCAAAACCAACCATCAAAGCCTTGCCCCACTGTCTGACCTAAATGGATCTGTCCTTTTGTTAAACCTTAAATAAGGTCAAAATATGTCAAACCCTGCTCTTTTCACATTTATTTTGCTCCCAATTTGGCTAGTTCTCTTTTCATTCGGCAACAGGGAAAAAGGCCTTTCTTGAGACAAAGGGAATGTCTTGCAATCAGCCATTAAATCATTGTGCAAGATATGAGTACAGCCTTGTGTTCTCACACTATGACAGTTAACCATGTGGCAGCATTTCCATTATTCTGAACACACTTTAAAAATATTCTAGTTTTATTTTATAGGAGTATTAATGTTATTAGCTAATGAATCACTTTTGCACTTGTATAACTGAGAGCTTAGTTTTAAAAAAATAAATATGGCAAACAAGGAGTTCTTGATGTGTTCTTCTTGCTTTGGCATTTTGAAAAGGGATCTTTAATGCTAAACTATTCTGATGATCTGGCTAGCATGATGCTCACTGCTGGATAGATCAGAACTGCTTAAATGTGCATCACAGGCCACGTACTGGAGGTGAGTTAAAGTAACCGTGTGCTTTTGGAGCAGGAAGTTAAAGGAAATGAGTAACAATTGCAAGCTTGCTCTTCAGTCACTATTGTTCTCAGGAGAAATTATGACTTAATTCCTGGCAGGATATGAAGTAAAATTCAAATCTGATCTATAGTGCTGTGACTCCAGTGACTTGCTTGAATTTGCACTACTTTATATCCTACCATAACTGAATTTGCCTGGGATTGTGCACAAACAGTATCTTGCATCACTCCGAAAGAACAAATATGTGTCCCTGCCAACTTGAAATGGTTCCACAGATACTGTTATAAAGATATGGGCAAACATAGGGTGTGCATGTGTGCGTGTATACCTATATATATATTTAAATAGGTATATATTAAATATATTAAACACACACACACACACACATATATATTTAAATAGTTAACTTGGCATTGAGATAATACCCAACTTAAAAAATAAAATCCACTAACATAGATTAGCATACTTATTACCACAAAATACCAGAGTACTGGCTTGTGGTCTACCATGTCAACTTACATAAGGTATTTTTCTTCCTCTTCTGCAACAATGTTGAAGTATTGTTTTATGATTGAGGCAGAAGACTAGGAACTCAGAGATCTGAATTCTCTTAACTTCTCAACCATAGATTTCTTATATTTGACCTTGTGCCAGTCACTTAGGTCTAAATTTGCAAAATTAACTAGTGATTTTGGTGTCCAATTAGAAACACTGTAAGGGGAGCTGATTTTCAAGGGGAAAATGGGGATTGTTTGTGAAAACTAACTCTTAAGAACTGAAGCACCCCAAGCTCTCAGTGTCTGAACTGTAAAAAGGCAATAATTTATCAAAGGCTTTGGGATCCAGGGTTGAAATATGCTATATAACCCCTCACTACTTTTTAGTGTTATGCTGCATGGGTACAGCATGTAAGCTACAAGTAAGATGTTTTATCTGATTTTTTTTTAAATTTAAAAATAGTCTTTGTGCAATTTGTGTCCAAATAGCGTGTGGAAAGGAACACTATAGGCCCTGAAATCAGTTCGGTGGTTGCAATAGTGAATACCTGTATTTTCAGAGAGGCCTCAACTTTGCCTCCATATGGGCACATCTTCATAACAAAATGCACATGCACAAAACTCCAATAGGTACTAAATCCGCAGACAAAAATGAAGGGTTACACCTCTGTATTGGGCATTAGCATGCTCAAGCGATAGCGTGCAGTAAGACTCTGATCCTCCAAGGTGCTGAGTGACTCCCAAAAGTCAACGGGATCTGAAAGCATTTCTCATTTACAGGATTTGGGCTGTGCCTTATTGGCTCAGTCCCTGACTGCGTGCAATCAGTTTTGCAAGTGAAGTTGTGCAAATGCATTATTATGGATCATGGCATGGGGCTGTATAAAATACAAAGATACTCCATGGTCCTGAAGAGCAAGCATTGGCTAGGACTGTTCTTGTTACCAATTCACTACTTGCACCTAAACCCCAGAGGGTCCTCAGCACCTTGCAAGATTGGGCTTAATGCTTTGTGCTGCCTGATGACAAAAAGCTTGTGACTGATTCATTAGAATAGTTGCCAGCTTCAGTACAACAATTTATTTGTGGAGATCATGACTCTGTAGTACTCTGCTGTGGAGCTGGAACTATTTTCCCTGGGAGAGGGATTTTGAGCAGGTCATTAAGAATAACCTTGATTAAAAGTAAATACTGAGTCTCCTGCTGGCCATGTTTATGTTCAGGATTCTTTAATAAACAGCATTTATATGAAATAAAAAAACAAATCAGTGCTGTAGTTCTTTAGCCACCCCACTGATTTATGAAAAAGTGAAACCATATCTGATCTTGAAGCTTTTGTACTCCCCTCCAATATCAGCAATATCAGTTACTAGAATGTACTGGGTTTGCTTGTTGGAAAAAGCAATGCCCAGATTAAAATTCTGCAGAGACCCAAGCCTTTCTTCCCCCCCCAGCATAATGCTACTGTAATCAGCAGTCCTGTTGGTAAGGATTTTGGCCCTGTTTGTTTTAGAAAGTCTAGTAGCTCACACTTTGTCCTAGATTCATCCGTACAGAAGATCATCTTTGCAAGAGGATGTACAGTCTGACTAAAAGCCTCTCTACAGGTGCTGCACCTCTGGGTAGATGTGCAAGCAGGGATTTGCTGCAAGAGCTCTCTGTTGTCTAATATGCGTAACTGGAGCCCCTGTAGCTGCTTTGGCTGGGAAGAGAACATATGCATCTAAAAGACAGCATAACTGCATGCCCCTTTACTCCTGGTGGGGCAGTGAGATCAAGGATCCTGTGAGATCCTGTGTCCGTGGGATTTGAGCTCAGAAGGCATAAGGAAGCCTTCAGCTCACCTCATTCCTTTCATGAGGGTTAGGTTTACCTAACACACGTACACTCCCAATGCAACAGTAAAAACCACCTGTTGACTCTTGGCAATACAGCAGCTACAGGAGACTCAGTAGCAGACATCTGGCTTGGGTGAGGACAGGGAACTTCATCCTGCGAGGCACCGATGATCTTCACAGTCAGTAGGAATTACAGACACTTAGGACCCAAATAAAGACTTCAGGATCTAACGCCATAAAATTTGGTAGCCATGACGTATACAATATAGTCCAATCTTGCTCTCACTGAAGTCAACATGGGCTTTCCCACTGCCTTCAGAGTAGGATCAAGTGAGAAGATGTAAACTGGTCTGTCTGTTAGATGCTAGAAAATCAGCCTTGTTTAATATATCATTGAATGTGACTGGCCATTAATCTGGTGCAAATTCATTGTGTCTACATTAGTGCTCTGACGACATACACCATTCAGTTTAGCAAATATGAATGTTTTGAATCTGTTCTAGAGCAGAGTGCTCCACGTTTAGACATTTCTGACAGGAATGTTGTCATCCTTATCGACTGATCCTTAATGTTGATTTGGCAAACTGTCTTAGTGTGGTTAGCTACAGAAGTATTTCATGTATGTTATGTGGATCTGAGACCACTGATCATGTTCTCCTCATTCAAGTGTCTGGATTTCTGACACGGATGTGACATATCTGTACATATTATAAATCAATACTATTTTTAACCATATATTTTGTACAAATATTCACATTAGCTCTGTACTTCAGTGGAAATCTAATCTGGTATTAAACATTTTGGTGGAATTAGTGAACTATGTGTCTGTGCTTTATTCCACACACCCCCTTCCGTTATCATGAATCACCACAGTATAATGATTTTAAGCAGCCCAAAACAGTGACGATGATGACCCATTCTAGCTGTTTGTAACAACAGTATATGAAGCTGGTGTACAGTACTGCATACACCTCCCTCTAGTGACCATCACTGGGAACTGGAACAGGCCAGTTATTCATCCAAAAGGAGGAATCCACTGTCTCTTGTGCTGAAACACCATGGTTCATGTCACCTGCATGTGATCTCCCATAGTATATTACTGCCATAGGTCAAGTGAAACTAGATTTAACAGAACAGAAATTACACAGGTGCTTAAAAGCACCCAGGCAGGGTGCTAACCTCTTTCTTTTATCCTATGTATGTTTAATGTGGTTGACTGTGCCTTTCTCTAAAGCCTCTGTGAGTTCATTAACACCTGGGTGCTCACAGGCCAGTTGTGGAAATTTGGTGGCGGGAGAGATGGGGCATTGTTCCCCTACTGCCAAATCTTCTAACCTATGGGGAGCCCCAAACCCTGCATGCTGGATCTGATCCAGCGCTCAATCCCAATGCACAGGGCTGGACAGGGGTAGGGAAGCTACTGCAGGACCCAATCCTGTTGTGGGGGACCAGGAGAGGGTGGTGCCAGGCCCTCAGGATCCAATCCCAACATGTGAGGGGCAGAAGGGGGAAGTGGCAGGCCCACAGGACCCAATCCCAATGCACGGGGGACAGCAGGGGCAATGCTGGGTCCCTGGGACTGAATCCCAGCACACGGGGGATGGGATAGGTGGTGGTGGGCCCCCGAGACCCAATCCCAGTGCCAGGGGCAGGGAAGAGTCAGTACTGGCCCCACAGCCCAGTCCAGCTCACAGACAGGCTCTGCATCACTTATCTGGCTTATGGGGCCAAAAGGTTGGGCACTCCTGATCTACACCAACTGTGGCCAACCTGCAGCATGGGTGCCACAAGTGATATGGGAGCCTCTACACTGGGCATACCGCAGTGGCAGATGGGGCAGGAAACAGAAGCTAAAACAGCAAGTCAGGCAGGGAACACAAGGAAGGAAGCAGAAAGCAGAGCAGCAGGCTCAATAGGGGAAGGGGATCGGAGTGGTCCTTGAGAAGGGTACATAGCCAATTTGTGGCAGACCTGTCAAAAAAATTGGGCCTCCACTGATCTGCACCGTGGGACAAGGCAGCTCCTTTCTGCCACCAAGGGAATAAGTCCTTTAAGGCTGCTCCTGCTCCACACACCTCAACCCCCAGCATGAGATGGTAAAGAGCTGTGGTTCACACCAGGCATCTCCTCCTGGGCATGCTGGAAACTCAGGTGCAGGGAAGCCCTCACTGCCTCATTTCTAGGGTTGAAATGTGTAGAGTGGACAGGGCTTATTTGAATCTGAGGCCTCTGCAACCATGGTGTGCACACGTCCTCTCCAGGACAGGACATGGACTACACTCAACCTCCAGCCTGGCAAGACATATCAGATGGGCCACAGGTCTCCCCACAGGTCCAAAACGTGGTAGAGGAGGAGCAGTGGGCATTAATGCAACCACATGTGGGGCCAGGGTCAGGAGGTCGGAGCGCAGTTTCGCACTGCAAGTGCCCCTAGCATGTTTTAAGTGTGACGCATGACTCCAAGTGCCCCTGGCGTGCTCTAAGTGTGATGTGGGGCTCCAAGTGCCCCTAGCACGCTGTAAGTGTGACGTGTGGCTCCAACTGCTCCTGGTGTGACGTGGGGCTCCAAGTGCCCTAGCACGCTCTAAGTGTGACGTGCGGCTCCAACTGCTCTAAGTGTAACATGGGGCTCCAAGTGCCCAGCACGCTATAAGTGTGACGTGCGGCTCCAGCCGCCGGCTCTAAAGGGGGCAGCCCTGGGGGAGCGAAGACCCCGCCCCCGCCCCAACCGCCGCGTGACCGTTACCCCGAGCGGGGAGTGACAGACCCGTCGGCCACTGGCGCCCGAGCGCCGCGCACCGGAAGTGCCTCACAATGGGCGGGGTCGAGAACCGCAGAAGCGGACCAGGCGCTGCGGCTGGCGGGTGAGTGGCTGCGCCGGGGGCAGGCGCGGGACTGGGGCGCGGGCGCCTCAGCCACCTTAGTCCGCTCCGGCTGTCGGGTCCCGTCGGTCCGGGCAGGCCGCCCTCGGGCGGTGTCTCTCCGCACGGGGGGGCCGGGAAGCGAGAGATTAGCGCGGTGCGCGCGCCTGTGTCGCAGCTCGGCCCGTGCGGGCGGCGGTCCCCGCTCGCTTCTCGCACGCGGGTTGTGGCAGTGGGGACGCAGCTGAGCGTCTCTTGGGCGGCGGGGAGCTAGTTTCTGATCCACGGGCACCGACATGTCGGTTGTATATCGGATGGGCACCCAGAAAAGGAAAATTTCTGTTATCGGCTAATGGCTTTTTTTGGCCGATAATGTTAACTGAACATTGGTGATGGGTCAGGGGTGCATGAGGGTGCAAGTCCCACTCGCCGTCCTCCCCACCCACACCGCCAGCAGCGTCTGTAGGCGGTCACCCATCGCCACTGGGTGCCACCGACACTGCCGGCAGTGTCTGTGGGTAGTTGCTAATCACCAGTCGGCGCTCGCCTCCACCACCGATGCCACTGCAGCCACCTTTGGAAAGTCGCTGCTCGCCTGCGGGCAGTTGCTGGGCCCCCCTCAGCCTCGGGAGGCAGGCAATGTTCATGATCACTGATAAATGTAACGTGCCTTGTGGCTGGGGCCTTGGACTGCATGTGGTGAGGAGAGCAGCGCCCTGTAGGTAAGTCTGTGTAGGGAAAGGGGGAGCAGGTCAAGACCCCCACAGTGAGGCAGGGGCAGGGGGCGCTGCCCAGCCAGGGCAGTGAATGAGACCTGGGGCAGGGAGCAGGATGGAGCCATGGGCAGCTTGTACTTGGGCACAAGGTTGGGAGGGGGAGCAGCTTCCTGCCACTGCGCACACCCCATTCAGGAGGCATCGGGGCACGTGCCCCCCAGATCTGTGCATGGGGTGGATGCAGGCTGCTTGCTGTGGCCTCAGGGCTCTCCACTCTGCTGGCTTTTCCTCAGAAGCCCCATGCCAGCTGCACACCCCCTGCCCACCTGGCATCAGTGGAGGTGGTGAGTTTTGCCTCCCATTGCCAGGCGGGCAGGGGACACGCAGCTGGCATGAGGCCCCTAGGGCAAAGGCAGCAGGGCGGAGAGCCCCAAGCCCACAGCAGTCTGCCCACCTCTGGCCTTTCCCCACTCAGCTCCACTCCAGTTAGAAAGGGTTGAGCAAAATACGGCCCACGAGCCAGATCTGGCCCATAAGGCCACTCTATCCAGCCCGCAGGG